TCAGTATATATACTTTATATATATTTATAGTTCGTATTTTAGTGGTCAGAACAGTGATGCGTAAAGGCAAAGATCCCGGGTTCGATTCCCGGCGGTGTGACAACAGCAACAATTTTTCCCTCATTAATTTGAGTATAGCGTGTAGTGGCTAAAAAATTCAAAAATGAATTTTCAAATTTATAATTATTATTAAACTAACTCACTTCTAAAAGTTGTCTAAATTGTATGTAAATAGTGATCACTTAGAAAATCTGCTGAAACCCTTTGTACATTTACTGCAACAGTTTCTTGTAATTTGCCTTAATAATGTAATGCAATCTTTAAGAAGCCTTTAAGGATATTTTAGTCCTTGTAATAAGTGGGGGAATTACTTTAAACAAAATGTACTGATCAGATAACAGATTTAATTGGCAATTCTTTATTGTTACTAACACATGCACTTATTTATTTGGTTGAATATTACAGTAACAGTAACATTTAACGTACGTGCGTGTCATTACTGCACTTATTTGTACAAATTGGTAACTAAATATCGAAAAAGAAATTGAATTCCTTCGAGTTAACATATGTAAATTCTATTGCGACGTAGGAGTTTTATTCCTGACCGGCAGCGGGGGTGTCGGTACGTCAGGGACTTCAGGATTCTTTTGAAAATCTATAGCTGCTTTGACTTTGTGTTGTGTTGCCTCCTCTACTCGCTTTTCTTCTTGCACTTCCGTCGGTTTCGGAATATTCGGCGGTATGAAAGGTTGTTGGTAAATTGGTAAAGTGGGAACAAGTAGATTATTATGATAAGAGTAGGCGTAGTAAGGATCTACAGCAACAGGATACAATGAACCATGGTATTTTATTTCATGATAAGATCCCTTAATTTCCTTGCTTCCTGTTTGAGTTCTTTCATCGGAATGTTCCTAGAAAAAGGCTTTCTAATTATAGCACATTTGTAATTAAATACCTAAGGATGTGGGTTGTTCTAGTTTTAGGGAAATGCGAAGATTATCTCAGGATAGGAAAGAGTGGAGGTACGTGTCCAACCAGTCTTAAGACTGACGACCTTATGATCATGATGAAAATCAAAAAATAGGCAAGACAACTTCAGGGATAATTAGCAGGCTTAGATTTGATATGAGGGATGTAAAACAGAATTAGAACTAAAACTTGTTAGATTTTTGATTTCTTCGAAAAATATTTTGGTTTGAGCGGAACGATATCGATCATTTATTGACGTAATTTATTTGTTTAAACTGTTTTAAAAATTAAGATGTTTCCGTCAGATGAAAAGTAATAAAAATAGTCAATTGCTACGTGCAATTTTCCTGTTTACCAACGGATCACATTATTAATAACATGCACTGTACATAAATAGTACTTTCATTTTATAACTGACAGCTGTTTTAATTTCTTTTGTCTCGTTTAACATGATATTAAATAATGGATATAGGTTTCCCTTGAAATTTCGGAGGTCGCTATTGACTGGCTATTTGATTGAAAAGATGGAGACGCGGAAATGCAAAAAAAAATATTGCTATTAATAGAATAAATACTTACACAACTTAGCTACTTAATTGACACGCCTTAATAATAGTAATATTTATCGGAACAAATCAATTGTCTGTATACATTTAATATATTTTCGAAAAAAAGAAAACGAAAAATTAAAATTACGTCTTCCCGTAAATTACGTTTTTTTTATATACTATAGTTGTAAATTGAGAACAGAACATGACGAGGGGGAATATTTTCTATGTTCGACGAACATTTTGACTACAACAGGTACAATATTTTATTTTGAGATTATTAGTTGAGGAATGGTTATAATTAGCTCACTTACGTTGGCATGTCGATTAACAGATACATGTAGAGGATGGCCAACTGTGTGAATAATAGCTGGTGGAAATAAGACTCCTAAAGCGGATGTCCGATATACAGGTTCTATAACGGGAATGGCCTGACTTGGTGATAGGTTCTGTTTCGACGACACAATGGCATTGTAGACCTTCGGAACTTTCACCAGTCCCGTTTGTGCGCCCCAAAGCAGGCTATTGAAGATAAGTAGAACGTATATACTCTAAAAAATAATATACATACTTATCACAATAAATAATGATGTTTTCTAACCTACGAACGTTTGTGTTTGTTTCATCCAAAGCAGTCAAATGCTTCGCTTTTCTATTATGAATTGCGAAAAATGTTAAAAGATGTTAGAGGTGGTAGAAAACAATTGGATAAAAGTGGGAATGTCTACATTCGGTTGTATACACTCGAATGGCATGGGATAAACTTTAATTGTTTGCTGCATATAATGCACCATAAAAAATGTTAAGGGTTTAAATACTACGAACCAGGGGTAATGTTGGAATGGTTTAAACGTTATACACCACAAACGAAGGTGCCATCCAAATTTGGACGGGTTATTACTGTCAGTCTAATGTTATAAATTACGTCAACGACAAAGCCAGCCTCGGCGTTTTTAATCATAAAATTTACATAAAGTATTAATACGACTCGTTATGGTATTATTTTTTTCAGTTTTATGCAAAGCAATTACTAGTACCATAAAAAATATAAACGTGTAGTGATGTGAAAGTTAAATAGTTGTCCATAAATGACTTTTTATTTTCATAATTATGAAACTAAAAAGGTTGTAGGATACGTATAACTTAGTAGGTTTCACAATACCTCAAATCTGCTCTAGAATATCAAACTAACATATGTACATCCTTCATGCATATATTGCACCTAGTGAAAAACAAAAACTACTTCGAAAATATTGTAATATANTTGAGTATAGCGTGTAGTGGCTAAAAAATTCAAAAATGAATTTTCAAATTTATAATTATTATTAAACTAACTCACTTCTAAAAGTTGTCTAAATTGTATGTAAATAGTGATCACTTAGAAAATCTGCTGAAACCCTTTGTACATTTACTGCAACAGTTTCTTGTAATTTGCCTTAATAATGTAATGCAATCTTTAAGAAGCCTTTAAGGATATTTTAGTCCTTGTAATAAGTGGGGGAATTACTTTAAACAAAATGTACTGATCAGATAACAGATTTAATTGGCAATTCTTTATTGTTACTAACACATGCACTTATTTATTTGGTTGAATATTACAGTAACAGTAACATTTAACGTACGTGCGTGTCATTACTGCACTTATTTGTACAAATTGGTAACTAAATATCGAAAAAGAAATTGAATTCCTTCGAGTTAACATATGTAAATTCTATTGCGACGTAGGAGTTTTATTCCTGACCGGCAGCGGGGGTGTCGGTACGTCAGGGACTTCAGGATTCTTTTGAAAATCTATAGCTGCTTTGACTTTGTGTTGTGTTGCCTCCTCTACTCGCTTTTCTTCTTGCACTTCCGTCGGTTTCGGAATATTCGGCGGTATGAAAGGTTGTTGGTAAATTGGTAAAGTGGGAACAAGTAGATTATTATGATAAGAGTAGGCGTAGTAAGGATCTACAGCAACAGGATACAATGAACCATGGTATTTTATTTCATGATAAGATCCCTTAATTTCCTTGCTTCCTGTTTGAGTTCTTTCATCGGAATGTTCCTAGAAAAAGGCTTTCTAATTATAGCACATTTGTAATTAAATACCTAAGGATGTGGGTTGTTCTAGTTTTAGGGAAATGCGAAGATTATCTCAGGATAGGAAAGAGTGGAGGTACGTGTCCAACCAGTCTTAAGACTGACGACCTTATGATCATGATGAAAATCAAAAAATAGGCAAGACAACTTCAGGGATAATTAGCAGGCTTAGATTTGATATGAGGGATGTAAAACAGAATTAGAACTAAAACTTGTTAGATTTTTGATTTCTTCGAAAAATATTTTGGTTTGAGCGGAACGATATCGATCATTTATTGACGTAATTTATTTGTTTAAACTGTTTTAAAAATTAAGATGTTTCCGTCAGATGAAAAATAATAAAAATAGTCAATTGCTACGTGCAATTTTCCTGTTTACCAACGGATCACATTATTAATAACATGCACTGTACATAAATAGTACTTTCATTTTATAACTGACAGCTGTTTTAATTTCTTTTGTCTCGTTTAACATGATATTAAATAATGGATATAGGTTTCCCTTGAAATTTCGGAGGTCGCTATTGACTGGCTATTTGATTGAAAAGATGGAGACGCGGAAATGCAAAAAAAAATATTGCTATTAATAGAATAAATACTTACACAACTTAGCTACTTAATTGACACGCCTTAATAATAGTAATATTTATCGGAACAAATCAATTGTCTGTATACATTTAATATATTTTCGAAAAAAAGAAAACGAAAAATTAAAATTACGTCTTCCCGTAAATTACGTTTTTTTTATATACTATAGTTGTAAATTGAGAACAGAACATGACGAGGGGGAATATTTTCTATGTTCGACGAACATTTTGACTACAACAGGTACAATATTTTATTTTGAGATTATTAGTTGAGGAATGGTTATAATTAGCTCACTTACGTTGGCATGTCGATTAACAGATACATGTAGAGGATGGCCAACTGTGTGNATGATTTTTATTTTCTTTACAATTTTTTTTTCAAAACATAAAAATCTAACCGATTTGTTTTTCCTTCCTTTTTTCGGCTTTTAGGCAGATGTTTTCATAATTTAAAAAATTAAAAGCTGTTCAAGTTGTCTCGCCCACTTTTATGGAATGCGAAGTAAAATTAATTGCTAATAATGAACAACAGACCGGTATAGTAGGTATTTCAGTAATGCGGTGTGTTTGGATTGCGGTAATAAATCTCAATTATTGTCATCGGTATTTGTTTAATCCGTTCTAAAGCATTTATTATACGAGGGTGGATTGATAAGTTTCCGGCCTAACCAAGAGATGACGCCACTAGGCCTACCTTGAGGTGACATTCTATAGTACCATCCTTGGATAGCTTGTAGCTATAGTTTCAGCCCGATCTCCT